TCCACGGATCTACCTTTCAGGTAGGCGTGTTGAGAGGGGCTAAAACGCTCTCGAGGAATCCTGTTTCTTATGTGCAGGTCAATCCTAATATCTGAAAATTCGGTTGTATGCGAGCTACAGATTATAGTGACCTAATCTCTGTAATTTTCACTGTAAACTCTCTGTTGATAAAAAGTGAAAATTGTGGGAAATTTCAGGAGTTATAACGCAATGTGTCTTATATGAACAATCAGTTGTATGGGAGCTATGTATATGTTGTGGTGGTCTGATTTTGCCGCCTCCGACAAATGATTAATGCATTCTAAAATGCAAATTATAGAATTTGAGTCGAGTATATTGAAAACTGAGTAACTAGATTGCGTTCAAACATACATTTGGACATGAAATGGACTCAGCTCGACGTTTTAATCATTTTCGTATACTTTTTTAATGGGTCTATCTGTTCTTCTAATACTTACAAAAGTTATAATACCATTTCATAGCGCCTAAAGGCATACTACTGTCTCGATAAACCCAGAGAAAAAGTGCAGCACAGATATTTATGTATATATGTGCAGCGCTGCCTGTGAAAAAATTTCCTTTATGAAATTTATAAAAGTTTTAGATATACACTTCTCAATTGTCATATGTATGTATAAAAGTACTTATTAAAGTACTGCTCAGTCTAGCTTGACGCATTCTCTAGACAACTCGTCCGGGTTTTATTTGCGGACTCTGAATTAGTTACAACCATGCAGAGGTGGTAACATTGGGCACAGTGCCTACCTAATATTTTTTGATTTTAACAATCTGTAAATGCCTAGCTGTAATCCTCATTCATGGTCTCCAATATTGTTCTGGTATTAAATATTTTCGACTCTTTTTCTCACATTTAGGCTGATGTACTCGTCGATGTGGAATGTGATGCCCGACGGCTGGATAAAGTACTGCAAATGCTTAATCGTGAGGTACAATCCGTAAATTATACAACCGTACATCCAATGTTTCGTGCGCCATCCTTATCAACACGCTCTAGCTTTGGTAGGTTTTCAAAATTCATATTTATTTACATACAGAAAAAGTAAATAATTATTTCACACTTAAAAATTAATAAATGTTTAACCGTTGCCAGATTTTGGCGATATGGTTTGGTTTCCGCGCAAAATTTCCGACCTGGATAAGGCGCAAAATGTGCTAATGTACGGTTCCGAGCTGGATGCTGATCATCCAGGTTTCAAAGATCCCATTTATCGCAAGCGACGCGAGCAATTTACCGCCATAGCGAACAACTATAAGAAGTAAGTTTATTAACACTTTTTCTTTTTGTACTTACTTATGTATATATGTACTTCCATATATTTTCCCATCTCGAACTTTAACTCTCACTTCCTTACAAAATCAATAGCGGGCAACCAATACCACGTGTGACCTACACGCCGGATGAGATAAAAACTTGGTAAGTATTTGTGTGTTTGTGTGTGTACTAGCGAAGCTTCCATACCGCAAAACATAAAAGTTATAGGTAAATCAATTAACGTTCTACATAGTTAGTAGATAAACTTACTGATTTTCTTACACACATTTTGCCTGCTTGTTGTTGTAATGTAAACTACCATTGTATGTATGTACATACGTCTTTTATGGCCGATAAATTGCGCTACTTTTCAGGGGCACCGTCTTTCTTGAACTGCATCGTCTCTATGCCAAACATGCAGTGCCGGAGTATATGGAAAATTGGCCCGAATTGGTTAAGTACTGTGGTTATCGTGAGGACAATCTGCCGCAATTGGAGGATGTTAGCAACTATTTGAAACGCAAGACGGGCTTTCAACTACGTCCCGTAGCTGGGTATTTATCACCACGTGACTTTTTGTCTGGTTTGGCTTTTCGTGTATTCCATTGTACACAATATATAAGACATTCTTCAGATCCGTTTTACACACCGGAACCGTGAGTTGTGCAAGCTTGGAATATCTAATAAACTTAGGTATGGGAAATTTTTCCTGTTTTTGTTTTTTAGTGACTGCTGTCACGAGCTTTTGGGTCATATGCCTCTGCTAGCTAATGCCAGTTTTGCTCAATTCTCACAGGAAATCGGTTTGGCCTCATTGGGTGCGGAGGATGCAGATATTGAAAAATTAGCAACGGTTTGTTTTTTTAACTAAATTTAACCAAAATTTTGTTCACTAATTTTGGCTTAAAAATAAGGATGTATTTTTTAGTGCTTGAAGTTTGTTTCCGGTTTTGTAATTTAAATAATAAGCAAAAATATCAAAACGATATTTGGCCTGAAAAATCCACATTTCCTGAAATCTGATTACGTTTTTCTTATAATATTTCTAACTAAATATCCACGTTTTCTGTGAAGAAAGTTGCGTTTAAATATAATGGGATTCAAATTATACCTATTTTTGGAAACGGTGGATTTTTTCTTAAATCAGTAAGTCTAATTTTTTTTAGATGGTACCTCAGCCTGCAGTATCCTGTCAGTTACCCGGTGAGAGCTCTTAAACCATCTCTGCTAAGATTTAGCAGTCGCTGAGAGATTCCACGAGAGGGAGTAATGAATCTCTTGGATTGCCTTTTGGCCTTTGTCGTGTGCTATTGAGTTACAATTCGCGCGTTCAGCTATCTCCTTAGAAGCTGTGCCGTGTATCCTCTGGGCGGGAAAGAAATAACTGTCGAACGATCAGGCTCCGTTGGGCACTGCATTTTGTTAGGGTGTCAGCTCTTTCATTGCCATGGTACCGCCCTTGGCCCTGAACCCACCACAATGTAACTCTGTTATTGGGACCTCGTTTTTCCAGTACCATTTTGCTACTGTCTACTAGCTTTGACACCGTTTTGAAAGAGTCAACTACTCTTAACTCTGTCTGGTTATCTGACATGATTATTGTTGCCCCATTAGCATGATGAAATTATACCATGTGTAGTAACTATTTTATTTGCAAAGTTGCCTTTAACCATTTCTATAAGATGGCTGGACGTCAAAAAAAATAAAGTGAGAAAGCTTTTTTTCATCTTTTTATAATTTCACCATGCCACATTAGTCTTTCTGCGAAGATATTCGTGGATACAGATTTCGATTGCGAAAATTTCCATCTGGAAAACTCGGCCAGCTCAGTGTTCCCATCCTCAAGTTTGGATCCATCAGTGTACCAAACTTGAGATGCCGCGCTAAAAATTGCGATTATCTTTTTAAAGATATTATTATCTTTTAAGCTTTATACAAGTCAATGTTGGTAGCATTAAGGCTGTATGTTTGGCTACGGGTTTTAGGACACCCAAATGGCATCCCCACTATTCAAGCTACTTAAGTTTGGCAGTCTCAGGACGATCCAACAGGCCTCTTTTTCTATAAGTGTAGCTAGAGACGGTATGCCTGTGACGCTGGTGCTTGCTTGCTTGGTTTTTCGTCACTAGACTAGTGACAGACAATCCAATTGACAGTCCAATTGTTCACAAATTTTGGGAAAAGCAGAAGCACGTGAGTGCGAAGAGCTTAAGATGCTGCCAGATATAAATGCAGTGCGAGAATTCTATCAGCAAATAAGGCAGCAATCAAATGGCTTACAAACTACAAAGCCCTTGGAGTCGATTTTTAGTGAAGTCCAAATTTGGATGGAACTCACCGAGCGGTCGAAACCATACGAACTTTCAGACAAGGCGATTCACTTTCGTGCGGCTTTAACCTTTCAAAAAATACGCTCGATAAAGCCTTATAACTTATAAGGCCAATACTTATAAGACTGATCCTGCGGTTTTTATGCATTGGCAGAGCATACTTAAATTACAGTCGTCGGGCATGCGTTCCTCCGACTTCTCGCGCCGCCGTACTTGAGTAGCATTGGCAGGCCGTCAGCCCCATCAGCTTTGTTACTTTTCAGCCGTGAAACTTCTATTCGCACTTCGTCATAGTCAGGCGGCGGATCATCGACTAGGTGCTGCTCGAGCTCATCTTTTCCACTACTGTCAGTGCTGTTTCAATTCAATAGGGTGGAAGATTGTTCTCTCTTTAAGTATATTCTGAATATCGGTCACAAAGTCACCGTGGTTGTGCTCATAGGAATATCGCTTTGCTCTTGAAATCCTCTGTAAGCTGCCTAACAGCATTTCAAGTTCTTCGTTCTCATGTATTTCGGACTCCTTCTCCCCTCTTCAGCTGCTTATATCGTTAACATACAGCTAGCCTTGCGCCATAAAAGGCAACACTGGGGGTCTACTCTGTAATCCGCGATTCGAAAAGCAAATCGTTCGGATTCAAATACTTGGCACTATGAATTTGTATTAGTCCGTATTGGCTTTCGAATCGCATTAAGTTTCGAATCACAATACAGAGTAGACCCCCTGGTGTGAACTCAAAATTTGCGATAACACTTACATAAACTGAGAATACCTTCGAAAACCCTAAAACCGGGAAGCTATTCGTGGCCGAAAACGAACTTATTTGAAAGTTTATTTTCGCTGCCTAAAAGGCTTTTTTATGATTTAATCAAGCAGTAAATACCTATGTATTTTATTATTTTTAAGTCCTCAAAGTCAAGATCTTTGCTCACCATTTTTTTTATAAGGTTTATGTTAATTCAATAAATTTTTAAATTATTTCCTTGCTAATATTTTAACTATCTTGTGAACTTTTTCGTCCAGTTATATTTTTTCACGGTTGAATTTGGGCTGTGCAAGCAACAGGATAATACATTCAAGGTATACGGCGCTGGTCTTTTAAGCTCTGTAGCCGAACTACAACATGCTATAACCGCTGCGGACAAAATAAAAAAATTCGATCCGGATATAACTTGTCAAGAAGAATGTATTATAACATCCTATCAAAATGCTTACTACTACACCGATTCATTCGAGGAGGCCAAGGAGCAAATGAGGTATAACTATTTATAAGTAGTATTTAGATGAGTAAGGCCACGTTAAGAGTACTACGAAAATTTTGCAGTCATGGAAAAGATAAGAATATGTATTTTCAAAACTAATAATAGGGACACACATTTTTTTTTACTGTTTATTAAAGATTTGCTAAAACAATTTGATGTTGTACTCGGGATCAAACCATTTCGTTACCGTAATGAACTTTAATTGCTTTCTTATTTCTTATTGCCTTCCGCTAAGGCGCGTTCACTCCCAACCTTAAGGACCTCTAAGGATTCATCTGACAATAGATACCTCGGTCTGTTTTAACCCTAAGAGTGCAGAATTGCGTTTTTTATCGTAAGAAGGAGAGGTTTCCCCAACGTTCTTTTGTTGATTGTATGGTACTGTTCCTAACATGTAGTTTGAATGTGACCATTGGTATACCTACCGCGTCCTTCTCCGGAAGGACCGTTCCTCGTTTCAATTCTTCAGTTTTGCAGTTGCCCTCAATATCTCGACATCCATATGCCCCATCTCGTTTAGAGATCTGTGGCATTCAGTGACTTTGTCTTGCCTTCGCATGAGTCTAGAGCTTTCAGGGCTACTCTCTATTTTCCTTTTGATCACTAGGTGCCGAGTGGCCTCCTGGATAACCAGCAACTCCGCCTGATATCCACAGCAGTGGGTAGGGAGTCGAAAAGATAATTTTCGTTCAACCTCCATCTCACGGTCGCTTGGTGGCTCGTCCGTTACCACACAGACTGCCAAGTTAAAAAGTTTTGAAAACTTGAAGTGTAATCTCCCCGAAGCCATAGTTCACCTGACACTCAGCATTTGCTAGCGCCATCAGGTTTTCGTTGCTCAAGAGGAGGACTACCTGCATTCTTGTCCGTCCTGTGTAGAAATGCTGGGATTGAATTCATACAGCATTTTGAAAATTTATGCTGTTTTGGACGACGTTACAGGTACCCAGGCTCATAGCCCCAGTGCCGAGAATTTCGGTATAATTTTTCTTGCCCTCGCTCTGTGCCAAGAGCACACTTTCGTGGGGTCCTACTTTCATACCTGATTCTCCCTGATCGGTGCGGGGGGCCTGACAACAGAGAATTCGTGAAGCGGTATGTCGGTCTTGGTAGGTGGCCTTCGCTGTGTCCGAAGTCCTTGGCCCTATTACGAGCCACCGAGTTCTTGGATCCACCCACAACAGGCTGACCAGACGCTGTTCGCTGAGTGGCGAGTTTCTATGCTCGCTGTGCAGGCCTTCCGCCCAATGCTACTTTTATGCGTGACATTGGTCTTTGGACTTCTCGGACCTGAGGGAAGGAGGGGGGGGGGAGGTAACTTAGTCCAAGTGCTGATGGGTGTGGGGATGTATCTGTTGTATGCCTGCGTACAGGGCTGCTTTGAGTTCGACCCGGTGGTGCCGTGGCCTCTATTTTGGAGTGCCGGACTCCCGTACTGCTGTCGAGATTTTTAATTTGTTTTCCATAATCTGGTCCCACGAGACGCGCAGAAAGTCGATCGTCCGAGAGGGCAGAGATCCGCAGTACCCAGGTAAGGCTTGTT